TACACTTTATACCTATTAATGTCATGAAATCCCATCAACACATGTAATATCCCCATTTTACAGATGAAGCCTTTGAGGCTAACTGAGGTTAAATTAACCCTTTTGGCCTAAGAAAAAATAAAGAATATGTACATGGTTAGAAAATTCAATCACTACAGAAAGGTATAAATGAAAATTGAAAGCCATTCTCTCTCCTTTTTTCCCCTCCCTCCCTCTCTCCCTCTCTCTCAACTCCCTTACACAGAGGAATTATATTGTATTCATTGTGCTGCATTTTTACCATTTAATATAATTTAATACTATTTCCATATCAATTTCTTTAGATTTACTTTACTCTTGTTAATGGCAGCACCATATTCTTTTTAAATTAAGTTTATTAGCGTGACATTGATTACTAACATTATAAAAGTTTCAAGTGTACAATTCTATAATACATCATCTGTATATTGCATTGTTTGCTCACCACCAAAAGTCTACTCTCCTTTTTATTTTTTAATTAATTAATTAGATTAATTATATTGTTTATGCTATTATAATTGTTCTTATTTTTTCTCCTTTTCCCCACCTCCATACAGGCCTACTACCCTCTCCCCTCCCTCAGTCAATGGCATATTGTTGTCTGCATCCATGAGTTGTACATAAATTTTCTTTGGTTAATCCCTTCATCATCTTTTATTCTGTCCCCTCCGCCCCCAGCAGCTGTCAGTCTGTTTCATGTATCTAAGTTTCTGTAACTATTTTGCTCATTAGTTTACTATGTTCATTAGATTCTACATATAAGTAAGATGATGTGGTATTTTTCTTTCACCACCTGGCTTACTTTACTTTGCACAATTTTCTCTAGGTTCATCCATGCTGCCAAGAACGGTAAGAACTAGTCTCCTGATGTCACCATATATTTGACCCCATTTTCCCTCTATCTTTCCCATATCTCTCTTCCCCTCTGGTAACCACCCTCCTTTTGTCTGTGTGTATGAGTGTTTTTTTTGTTTTGTTTTTTGCTTTCTGTTTTATATCCCTCATATGAGTGAAATCACAAGGCTCTTGTCCTATTCTGACTCATTCTGCTTAGCATGATATTCTCGATAATTCCGTGTTATCACAAGTGGCAGTAGTTCATCCTTTCTTATGTCTGATACTTAAGTAAAAAGTGAAAAAAAATTCTAGTTTCTTTATTAAGTATGGATTATATTAATATAAATAGATAATATGAGCACATATGGTTCAAAAATCTAAAGGTAAAAAAGAGTATACAATGAAGTCCCTTGCTACCTGTCTCCTAACATTCCCCCATAGTTTGCCTCTTCAGTTTTTGTGCATTTTTCTAGAGAAAGAGAGAAATCTTGTATCATTTTTCATACAAATGATAGCATATTATATTAATGGTTCCACATTTTGTGTTTTTAAATTCAACATTGTATCTTGGAACTCATTCCATATCTTGTATATTAAAAGCCACTTTATTCTGTTTTATTGGCTATATAATTTAAAAGTGTGAATGTATACTATTTCAAATTTAATCAGACCCTGATTTACATTTACAAGCATTTTCTACTAAAAACAACATATGAGCATAACCTCATTTGCATGTCATTAGGTCACTTGAGAGTGAGACTTATGTCTATAACCTCATCACTTTTGGGATCACCAGCAAAATCAAACTTCCAAGTGTACAAAAACTATGGTCCATTAATGGATGGTGGTGACAATGATAAGTTGATGTCTTTTTGTAAAGTCCAACCTTGGAGGCCAACTGAGGCTGTGGGAGTTCAGATGAAATATTGATAGCTTGAATTCTGAATAATGAAACAGACTACTTAGGAATCCAAGGCCGAAATGCATACAGAGTTGACATTGACTCAGAGGGAAGTGATGGTTCAGAGAGCGGGTTATCAAGAAGTATAACTCTTTCATGAAGTAACAAAACAGAATCGAATTGACCTGGCTCTGTCACTTTCTAGCTATATGGCATTGGACAAGTTACTAAAGAGACCTAAACTTTGCTTTCTTCATTTGTAAGATGGTGATAATTACGCATATCTCAAAAGGTTGCTATGAAAATATAATTTTTAAACATCTAAGCAAAATATTTACCTTAGCAGTTGGCTGTAGATCATGAGAATGGGTTTGATAAAACCAAAATAAAGTGGCAAGGACAACAAAACAAAACAATCTCCCAATAAAGACTAGCATCCATGATTGTATTTCCCTATTTCCTACTGAAAGATAAGACTAAAGCCTATAATGTTAGTTAATTTTTATTGAATTTGTGTTAAGTATTTCATAGCCATTATTCTATTAAAGTATCTATTAAGGTATAATAATAACTTCATTATTCTATGAAGTCAAGTAGTATTTTATGACCATTTTACAAGTAAGGGATTTGAAGCTCATAGAGGTTAAACCACAAACCCAAGTCCTGATCCTTAGGGGAGAAAGAAAAGGCAAAACCTTGGCCTTCATAAACATTAGGAAAACAGCTAGTAACTTCATGGTCTTTTTTTAGTACATTTTATTGACTGTGCTATTACAGTTGTCCCATTTTTTTCTCCTCTTTCTCCTCCTCCATCCTACAACCCCCTCCTCCCACCAGCATTCCCCCCAACCTTAGTTTATGTCCATGGATCACACATGTAAATTCTTTGGCTTCTTTAAGCCTGCAGTATTAGTATAAAGACTAAAGGAAACAATGGCCATCCTGACAGCAAAGTCAGGGTAAGTAAGAAGACAGGAAAATACTTGAATTTTCTGAAATAGGCCTCAAGGCAAACTGAAGATACCAGAACTTTAGAACTTTCCTTCACTCATTGTAAGAATTTACCCTTTCATGTATTCAGATACCAAAAGGTAACATTTGAATCCATGTGGGTAACATCTAAGCGAATATATACAATCTGTAGGAGTAAATACTTTTTAAGTAGGTAATAGTGTCAAGTCCCTCATATTTACACTTCCATCTAGATCTTAGAGTAGTTTCTTGCTGTTTAATATGAAAAGTAGAGATAAAATATACAAAATTCCTAGTACACACTAGGCACTCTATGAATGATAGCTATTGTTATTTCATCTGGAACCCTAGACTTGACCAAAAATGCAACTGAAAGTGACCCATCTCACAGAAAAAATACGTCAAACCATCATTAATTTTTTAATGGCTTCCTCCTAGTCCCTAGCAGTAAGACTGAAAGGAAGCCAGCTTTCTCAAACATTAAATAGTCTAGGGCAGTGTTTCTCATTCTTGGTATTATTGACATTTTGAGCCAGTTAATTGTTTGTCATGTAGTGGACTATCTTATACACTGTATTATGTTTAGCAGCACCCATGGTATCTACCCACTCAATGCAAAAGCACCTTCACCCCATTGTGACGACCAAAAATGTCAACAGACATTGTTACATGTCCCCAGGAGGACAAAACTGCCTCCAGTTGAGAACCACTGCTCTAGAGAAAGGAAGAAGGTATCAAAGAAAGAATGGGAAGAAGTTGTTAATGTCTACATTGATGGAGGTAGAAGCTTGGGGGTACTGAGGGAGAACTAGGACAAATAAGATTGTATCTTACCTTCAGGACACTTATATAAAGTGTATGTAAATGATCTCTTTTCATGGGTAAGAATGACATATTAATAACGACTATCATTTCTAAAAACCTGATGATAGTAATAATAGTAAGGCATTGGACTATTATGGCAGGTGGTGTTTTTAAGAGTTTTACATATATGAACTTAAACCCCAAAACGTCTCTTTAAGGTAGATTCTATTATCATGTCTATTTTTATTGCAGGATATCAGAGCCATAAAAAGGGTTATGGGATGTTTCTAAGATTGCATAATTAAATAGTCTCTAATTAAATAGATCCAGGATTTCTCAATCCAGGCAGTCTAGCTCCAGAGTTCATCCTTCTAATCACTATGACACACTGTACTTATGTGCCAGGTGCTTGATATGTATTATCTGCAATTATCATGGCAGCCTTTGCCCACAGTCACAGAACTATGAAGAGGCAGACCAAAATTTTGAAACCTATTGTCTTTCCACTATATCTCACTCCCCAATTGTTAGTAAAAACATACATGGGGGACAAAAGGTTGAGACAAGATACAAGCAAGAGGCAGGAAAAGTCATTGAAAGGTTATATCAGGAGTGTGAAAGGCATTCTAGATCATGGTAATAAAACAATGAGGAAAAACAAATGAAAGAACAAGGGGATAAAGACAAGAGTGAAATAAAGAAAGATCTCTAGGGAACTATAACTCAAGATCTCTAGGGAATTAACTAACTATACATATGATAGAGAAATAAATGGCCCGGCTTGCACAACTCTAGAGAGAACAATTGCTGGAATTGTTTAAATCTTTGGATTAATAATTTCCACTAATTTTTGTGTATTTGTGCAAATTTCATTTTAAGCCAAGTTCCTCATGTATAAAATTGGGGATATTACCTAGAGAATTGCATCACTAAGACATAATATGTTTAAGTACCCTGCACAGTATTTGACATGTACTATGCACTAAATATAGAGTAGCAACAACTATTATTATCCTAGGGCAGGTATACCTACAGCAGGTACTTATTTTTTTAATATAAAAATCACTTGAACAAGAAGCAGCAGATAGGGTGGGGGCAGGGAGCTCAAGAAGTAATGAATTTCCCTCAGAATCATTTTGCAAACCATACCTGATTTATCCCCACACAATTATTACAAACAGGGCAAATGGACAATAAGGAATATGAACGGTGCCAAAATAGTCCAGCTGATTGATACCTACAGCAAATGCTCTGAGTATAAACATACTACAACTCCCAGAAGTCTCCTTTTACCCCCAATGAATGCCCCTCCTCTGTCTTCCTGGTAGAGTGTGGGAATGAAATTGATTTCCACCAAATCCAAACTCGGTAGCACAACCACCACCACCACAAAATTTCCTGGAGTTTAGTTCCACTAAAAGACCCGTTTTTCCACCACCTCTTGAATCAGCCCGAGGTGCACTCTCACCTTCCTCATTCGGATCAGCTTGGCCAGCTGCACCCCCGAAAGCAGTAATAATGGTTCAGTCACAGGCGGTGTGGTCATTGATCCAAACTTGGGGCCACCAAAGACTCGAGCTGCTTTACCTATTAGGCCAATGAGAAAGCCCATCGTCTGCAGAAGCAGCAACTTGATTCTGGCAGTGAGCAGAGGTGCCATAGCGCCCTGGATTCCGCACGGTCCTAGTGCTTGAGAGTTGAGTGCACCCTGGGCGAAATGAGGACAAAAGACTAAGCAAGGAGCTGTTTAAGAATCCTTTCATTTACAAGTCCGATATCTACCCACAATTCCACAGGAGCTCTTTAGTCATTACCTGCTGGGTTCTGGGCCAGAGATGGGGGCGGAGTAAAGCCTTCCCAGCAGCTGCCTGTATGTAATGCAACCCATTGTTAGTGCTATTGCAACCCAACCCAGAAAGTGACAGATAAGAAAGAACACTGGCTTCTGAGTTGCTACTTCTGGCGCTAGCTGGCCTTGGCCTATTTACACTGTTTCTTGTACTCAACTAAAATGAAAAAAAAAAAAAAAAGGGGGGGGGATAATTACTGTTATATAAAAGATTTACGCTAAACACTGAATAATTAAACAGCACAATTTATGGCAACAGTTTAAGTGGTAGTTATCATTTACTTTGGTTTTACCTGTGAAAAAGGTGTAAGTATATAATATTCAGTATGTAAATGTTCAGTATGTTCAACAACTAAATAACAAGTATATATATTATCTATATCTCTATTATTTAATCCTTATAAAATCACAGATAGTGCTTTTTAATTTTTTTCTCAAGATTTTATTTATTTTTAAAGAGCAGGGAAGGGGGGAGAAAGAGAGGAAAAGAAACATCAATGTGTGGTTTCCTTTCACATGCCCCCTACTAGGGACCTGGCCTGCAATCCACGCATGTGCCCTGATGGGGAATTGAACCAGTGACTCTTTGGTTCACAGGCCAGCATGCAATCCACTGAGCCACATCAGCCAGGACAAAAATCACAGATAGTATTGATGAATAAAAAATATCTAGCTCACATTCCTCTCTTAAACTCCAGATACTTGAATTGAATGCCCAACATCTCCACATGAATGTCTCATAGATCCTTCAAACTTAACAGGTCTAAAACTCATCTTTTTAAACCTGTTGCTCCTGCAGGTTCATAAGCAGCATTTCATCCATCCAGTTAGCCATGCCAAAAATTTGGGAATCATCTCAGATCCTTCCTTTTTCCTTATTCTCACACACAGTCACCCACTCCAGTTAATAACTTTTCTTCCTGACTCAGCTGTAGCTCAGATCTCACTGATGTTTCCATGAACTTCTACAAATAACCAGCTGATTACCCTGTCTTCATTTACAGTGTTTTCCCAGTACAGATTTGACCCAGTTACTTCTCTGCCAGTTATTATGCAATAATCACCCACTTTCTTCAGGTTCAAGCCCCATTTACTTTGTCTGGTATGTAAATATCTAATTATTGATGTCTGAAAACATTTGTACCTCATCTCAAGCCCATTCTGTTCCTCATGTGCTATGCTCTTGCCAAACTAAACATTTCTCTCTTCTCCATATCTTCTCATATGCTTTCCCCATTTCCTCTCCATCTGGCTCAGGACAAGTACCACCTTCACCAAGAAGTCTTCCTTGAACACTAGGTTTCGTACCATGCCACACTCCACAGATTAACTATACCACAGCGCATATAACCTTCTATTTCCATGTTAGGATTTTTTTCTCTACTCCCTATCTAGATGTGAATAGGGTTACTCTAACCATTTGAATGGTCAGAGCTGAACATAGTGCTTGTCACACAGTCACTACAAGTTTGTAGGCTAAAGATATGAATTTATGAAAGAATGAATGCTGAAGATAGGCCTCAAGCTTGGCATTTAAGGCCTTGAGCAGATGAAATGTAAAGGTCATCCCAGGAACTGTTTTTTTTTTTCATTTGTATAACTCAGTTGGATACTGAAAGGTATCAATCACAGAACTTCTAGCCTAGTTGGAAGCACCCAGTGGAACTAAACACAGCTGACAGAATAGACTGTCAGTATTTAGGCTCCATGACAGTTTTGAGCAGACGCTGTAGCTGAGTGAATCTTCTTTACCAGGGAGAGTCTTTGCCAAGGTGAAAGTCCTCCATTTGCCTAATTTTTGATACTTTATCTACATTGTAAATGACCATTGTCTGAGTCTATGGTGCAAAGAATGCCTACTCAGAAAGCACTGACCAATAGATCTGGATTGGAATTCTATAATCAAAATCTTAAACTTCCCTCACACACACATTTTTGTACAAATCTCTTACTGCCTTTGAGTGTGTATGCTCACCTGTAAAATAAGAATAACAGCTACCTCATGGTGTTATAAATAGTAAATTAAACATGTATATAAAGATCCTACAGTGACTTTCCAATGCATTATAGCTTTTTATATTTGTTTGTCCTGGACAAAGAAACACAGTCTAATTTTAAGAAAAAGGGATGAGAAAAATTACATTTTGTTCCAAAGAGAAAAAGGAATGAGAAATACTTTGTGTTTGGGGGTGTAATTTCCCTATTAAAGTCAGAGAGGATTTATGTTATTCCACAATCCATTTAGCAATCAATGGTGGAGGCTCAGGAGTCATCCTTGACTCCTTCCTAAATTTCGATTTCCACTATAAGTCTTATATCTTAGTGTGTCTGTAACCTGTTCTCTACCCTCCATTTATACTGCTACTACATGAGTTATGTAATAGTTTCTTAATTGGTGCTGTGCTGCCTTCAATTTGTTCCTTTTCAAAACTATTTACTATACTCAAATTTTCTTTTTTTCTGATAAAGTAACTTATGTTTCTATTTATACTGTGTATAGTTGGCCTCTCTTTTATATCCTCATGAAAGTGGCTATTATCATTTTTACAATATTATAGGTGAAGAATTGATTTTCAGTTGTTGATCAGATTTATATTTATTTGATTTAGAGTAATGAGAAACACCTTTTTTTATATGATCATGGGTCCATTTGCATCTCTTCTATTGTTATTTCCCTGTTCATGTCCCCCGCCAATTTTTCTATTGAGTTATCTTTTTAAAACCTATTATTTGTAAGTGTTCTTAGTTTAGTGAGGGTGTTAACTTGTATATACTTTCTATGTTTATAATACTTTCCCCACTGAGTTGCTTTTCATTTGATATTATTCAAAGTTGTGTTAAAACATAAAAATAATTTAAATGCTTGTGTAAGCAAGCCTATTGAAGTTTTCTGTTGTGATTACACTCACCAATATTATCCTTAATATCCTTTCTCAACAATTTATCAATTATAGTTCAGCTATATTAACCCTTTTTTAAATTATTTTTTGCATGAACTTTTTTTTATTTTGCAGATAAATACTAGTATGGTGTTCAGAGCATTAAGGCTAGGGTGAGTACTGACTTTCCAATTTTTACTTCTTGCCAATTCCTCACACACATTCTTTTCTCCAGCTATACCAAACTACTTACAATTTCCTAAAACAGTGGTCTACAAACTGCAAGTGCTTTTTAAAATATTGACAATTAGCATGCTCCCTTATATATGTACATATTTATGTGTAGACAATACTGACCTGTGCTAATAAAAATATTAATATCGTATCCTATGGAAAAATATGAAATGTACATTATAGAATACAAATAAATAAATAAATGCAAGTGTAGGATTTTTTAAGTCCTAGTATTTTTGCATACTCCAATATATTATCCTGTGCCTTCTCACACACACACAAAACACTGAACTCACTACCACCCACATAAACACAACCATAAATGCATATGAAAATATACACTCATTTCAATAAACATATGAAACTTTACACAGGAATGCACTTGCACAGGTTCACAGCTATGAAAAAACAAAATTCTTCCAGCTACCCTTTCACACATAATATAAAAGCAAACATTATGCTTCAGCAACAACAAACATCAGATTGGGGCAGGCAAAGTGTGTGGCTTGATAAATGGTAACAAAATAGGTAAATGAATAAAAAAATGATAGGATTTTGAATGCACACATACCCTCCACCCAGAATATTTGGTTTTTGAATATTTTTATACATTTTTAATTTATTTAAATGCATTTTATATATTTTATATTTTAAAATGGAACTTTATTTTGAGATAATTTTTATGTAATAGCATGCCAATTAAAAAAACCCTTATAGGCACAGACCACAGTATGGTGATTACAAGAGGGAAAGGGGGTAGGAGGAGCTAGAAGAGGGTAAAGGGGGAAACTTGACTTGGGGTGGTGAATATACAATACAATATATCACATGTTTACACAATACATAGATGATATAGAATTGTACACTTGAAACATATGTAATTTATTAACAATGCCATTCCAATAATTTCAATAAAAAATTTAAAAATACATATATTTACATAGTTTTATTTAAATACATTTTTATATTTTTTATTTTAAAATTATATATTTTAAACTGCATTTTTAATTTTTTTTCTTTAAGATTCAATTTATTTTTGTTTTATTTTTCTACTGTTGTTCAAGTACAGTTGTTTCCATTTTCACCCCACCATGCCCCACCACCCTGTTCATCCCCCCTCCCACCCTCAAAACTAACCCTTTTGGCTTTGTCCATGTGTCCTTTAACATGTTCCTTGATGGTACTTCCCCTATTATCCCTCTTCCTCCTCCTCTCTGGTTACCATCCATTTGTTTTTTATTTCATTGTCTCTGGTTGTATTTTGCTTGCTTGTTTGTTTTGAGATCATGTGGTATTTCTCTTTTACCACCTGGCTTATTTTGCTTAGCATAATGCTTTCCAGTTCCATCTGTGCTGTCATAAAGGGTAGGAGCTCCCTCTTTTTTTCTGCTGCATAGTATTCCATTCTGTAAATGTACCACAGTTTTTTCATCCACTCATTTACTGATGGACACTTGAGTTGCTTCCAGCACTTGGCTATTGTAAATTGTGCTGCTATGAACACTGAGGTATATAGGTTCTTTTGAATTGGTGTTTCAGGATTCTTAAGATATAATCCCAACAGTGGTATAGCTGGGTCAAAAGAGTTCCATTTTTAGTTTTCTAAGGAAATTCCATACTGTTTTCCACAGTGGCTGCACCAGTCTACATTCCCACCAATAGTGCACTAGGGTTCCCTTTTCTTCACAACCTTGCCAGCACTTGTTTGTCAATTTGTTCATGATAGCCATTCTTTTTTTTTTTAACTTTTTAAAAAATATGTATTTATTTTTAGAGAAAGGGGACAGGAAGGAGAAAGAGAGGGAGAGAAACATGAATGTGTGGTTGCCTCTCATGTGTCCCCCACTGGGGACCTGGACTGCAACCCAGGCATGTGCCCTGACTGGGAATCAAAGTGGCAGCCCTTTGCTT